CCCCCCCCCCCCCCCAACTACATTTTCACCGGAAATTGTTTCTGAAATTTTGTAGCTGTTACCTGTAACGGTATCGATCTCTCCATGATTTTGGGCTATCTTGTTGTATTTATTAGCATTATTCTCAGAGTGACCTAAATGAGTGATTGACAACTTTGCTGGCTTGAGGAGTTTTCATGCAGAAGTCAAAATTAGGGAGCACTTGTGTACAGATATCATTCCACTCTTCTCCTTTCGCTAGTCAAATAAGTTTATTAGGTTTGTCAGTACTGGTCGATAACTTAGCAAATTTCTCAGCATCTCGATTTCATGAGTGACGCAACTCCTTCAATTTGTTCATGGGATGCATAATATTTTGTTATCCAATACATTCGGATGAGGGTTGAACGTCATGAACACTTTTAGGTGACCGTAAGATTCTTAGCTTGTAATTGCAGGCCGATATAGTTTGCTGGTTCACATCACTGAGATATTTCTACCTTTCTGTTGAGTCTAGAAATCTGCTCAGACTCATTCGTAGAAGGGAAGGGTTATTCGTAGTCATTCAGTCACCTTCGGGATGCACACAATCAACTTCCATTCAGAATCGCAGTGTCGTATTGAATGCCTATATGGCCAATATAATGACATGCGGTGGCCGACCAGCTGATACTCTTTGGCTCTTTTATTAGCCTAGTTGAGACTGTAACCATTAAACGACCCCTGAGGGACAGAAGACTTAGATTTAATCGGCGGTAATCGATTCGGGATCCGAATCCCGGACCAAGCGCGTGATAACGTCTCGTTACCAATTTTTGCTGGTTTCGACACAATAACCGAAATTTGCGTTCGTTTTCAATTTGAAACATCGCAAAATCAGTCTGGTTATTTTCATATCATCCTGGCCCCTCTTTTGTTCCCTACCAAGGAACCGTTTTACGAGCCCACCCTTCCTGGAATTTTCGCTAATTGTTATTTAGCCGACAGCCGAGTGTTCGCCTTTTCTTCCGACTTTCTCCCACACACTCCACCCAACTCGATGGAAGCCTAGTCATTTTTTCCCACCAACTTCGAATCNCCCCCCCCCCCCCCCCTAAAGTGAGGCTATTTTGCCCATTTTAAGTATGCACATCACCTCGTCCCTGCTCATCCCCACATACTATATTCGCCTCCCCTGGGGCCATCTTAACAAAAACTCGAAAGATAATAGGCTGCACTAGTTATTGAAGAAGCCACTCTGTTACGGTTTCTTTTCATGTCAAAACTCAGAACCCACTGCTTGCCTTCATTAACTTTTCCTGGTCTGTGTCCTGAGCTGAGATCGAATGGCAAAAGCTTTTATGTTAAATGCGACTCGATAATTAGTGTACCTCCCTCCTTGCCCATCCTTGACACCCAGCTAACGTGAGCTGAGTACGTTCTGGCCCATAGAATCTCAGATCTGGTATCTGAAGAGTCACAGGAAGACATCCAATCGATCTTGGCCTGGATTCTCCCATACCAAGCCATACCAAGATGTCTTTATATGTGTTCGGATGTCTTTCGGTGACTTTCCGGATTATTCACCTTTTCTAATCGCCCAGAGACTAGTAGAGGAGACATTTAATTTCCAGCTATTTTGGAAGAAAAAGGTCAGCAGTGGGCCGACAAATAACCCACAGGAGAGTTACAAAGCACAAGCTATGCAGTTATAGATTGACAGTTGTACTTTACCTAATCGAACCTGGATATGTACGGGTGGGTAAGCAGTCGTACCTTTTAGTCGTCTGGTGTGGCAAACGTAGTAGGAACTTCTGGCGAGAGTTTTTCCAACCATTGCTAAATACTTCATTTCTGAGTTGGCTAGCGTGTTAAAGTTGGCAATACAACTATGTTTGAACTCCACAAACGTTACCGTCAACGAACGTTCTTTCAAAAATGCTCTCTGTGCGTTCTGCAACCCTTTTATCCAATTCATGGTTCATGTTTCCCAGTTTCATATCGCCCTTATTTTCAAAAATGCTCTCAACCACTTCATTTATACATTTTGAGCTGCAAGCGCTTTAGCAGAGTTTCAAGACGGTCAGAAATGGATCATGAATCGAAAACTTTCCAACAAACAGGTGAAACAGTATGTGATTTTCAGTGGGTTTGCGTTCCTGCGGCATTGCTGCAAGAGGCGACGAAGGACATCAGCCGCAATGCCGAGGACTGGGTGGGTGAAATCGGTGGATTTAAGGAAACATGGTTGTGGATTGATTGCATGTTGCTGTTGATATTCGGTGGAATTCCATGGCAGGTAAAACATGTGAAACTACTCACTTGATTTTTGATTAGAAAACAGTTCATTTACAAAGAAAGGGGCTTAAAGCGTTGGAATTCGTTCACCAAGACTACCGGTAAATTGTCGTGGAGATAACTGTCGAGTTTTGTCTATTTCTACATGGAAGTTCCTGAAAAAGCCACGACAACAATCTCCTTTCGAGCCTTTCGTTACATGTTCCTTAGTAAATGTGAACCGGACTGCTGAGAGGAAACTTACGGAAATTTTTCAGAAAGGAAGGAAAGGAGCTATTGTAGTAGACAGCAGGCTCTCATTCATTTTCTTGAAGAGTTTTCAACTAGTTCCTGTCAATTTTAAATCACTTGATGAAGCATGTGACCCGTACTAGCTTGGCTTCTTGAGATGAGCTCTTTTGTAAAGAGATGGCAGGTCCAGGGTTTGTAGTTATCGAAGACGATACTGTCCTTTTTGTCCAATCCGGTTTATGTTATGGCTCCCGTCTTCGAATTCGGCTTTTGTAGCTGTCCTACTATTCTTTGTTTCTACCTGTACTGGCAATTTCCCACGGGACACCGAGAATGGCCACTCGTGCGTTCCCATCACATGCCATGGCAACGCTGGCAATCACTTGTTCTTTAGTAAACTTTATTAAACTATGGCGTCGATGAAATGATCGGGCAAATTTGTATTAATAACTGGTATCGAGAGAAGAAGAAAGGAGAAACAAAAATGCGCCATGCTTCTTTCAGGTCTATTTTCAACGTGTGCTGTCATCACGTACATCTTCTGGAGCTCAAAGCCTTTCATTCGTTGCCGGTGTTGGCTGTCTTGTCATGGCTGTGCCACCAGCACTTATCGGAGCTATCGCTCGGAATACAGGTTCCCAAATCCCTCATTCTTTAGTATTATGTATCACCCGTATGGGTAGTTCCAATTTTTCCTTTGCCTTTTTTTCCACATTTTCTCCAAGGGCTCTATTACCCCGTACGTCTCCTACGACTTCACTTCTTTTGTAAGAGCCTCTCAACATTCATCTCTCGCTTCTATATCAAATTCCTCTTCAGATTGGCGCATGACAGACTATTCGCCATGGAATAACGGCACAAAAGTGGAAGCAATACCCGAAGACAAAAGGAATATGGTCGTACCACTCGTATTCCAGTATCTAACCCCTAAGTGGGTAGCTTTTATAGGTATGTTCAAACTTTTTTAGGACTCGGGGTTGTCTGGAACTAGCTGATTACTTTCGGGAGATCCAAGATAACGCAAGCGAAATTGTAAAGTCGCGAACAAGACTGTGAGCTCATAGCAGTCAAAAGGCAATAATCCTACGGAGCGGCTGTCCCAGACCGGTGTAGGGCGATCGGTATGGCCTAGGTTCAGAGGTGCTTTTCGAGAAGTTTTACTTTTGATGCATCACATGCCGAACTCTGAAGTAATTCGAGAACCTCCAGAAAATAAGCAAGTTCAGGTCTTGGAGCTGTATCGGCTGCGGTGATGTCCTCAGCAGATTCATCAGTACTGTCAGCCGCCTCCATGTTCGCCCACAACATTTGGAAATTGACAATCAGACCACATGTAAGCAGCTTTTTTGATTTTCTTAGTGGCACTCTTCATCTTAACTCTTTCTTTTCAAATATTATTAACAATACGATATAGTTATTCGGAAGCCAATTTGTTGAAAAACCAAAACCTCCTGTGGAGGATCCAAATTCCTATGAGATATTTCTGCCCTAAGCTACCAGAACTCAATTTATAAGCAAAAATTGAGGAAAGTCTCTGAAGAAACAGTTCCTGTGATTATCTGACTCCCGAAATTCTTGTGATTTTTTCCGGGGAATTTTCAGATTGGAATCATATGTGAGAGATAGCTGAAGAATTCTCCAGTTGATCGATTCCTCTCTTGGGATGCATCCCCGCACTTCCATTCCCAGTCGACTTCCACTCAGAAGCACAGTGGTGTAATGAATTAGACCTTTATACTGGCTTGCGGTGGCCAGCCGATACACGAGTCACAGTTTTAATCCTAGACCGGTTTGGTACCAATTTCTATGGATCGAAGGCTAGGTTTGTTCGGGCCAGTATCGAATTCCGATTTGATTTTGGTCTGTGTGCTTATGTGATAGAGCACCACTTGCCACTACATATCCTCCGCTCAGAACCGTATAGGCGTTCAAAAACTACCACATTACATGCAGTTTTTTTTTACAAAGTTAAGCCAATCATTTGGCTTTGACCATCAATTTTCAATGTGAGAACGTCGACAAACTTGTCTAAAACTGTGGAGTCGGAGTCCTGTCGCAGCTCCGACCTTGGTTACCAGGAACTTCCTCATTTTCACTACATATTTCTGCCATGTTTGTCTCCTTATTCTTGATATGGCCCTGTGGCTCCAGTGAATTTGCGAAAAGGAAGTCATTATATAATTCGTGTTCGAATACCATAAGATCGTCTTTTTGCTTGACACTACATACATTCAGTTTGAGAATAATGCAAAGGGTAGCAAATGTCGGTAAATAACTATAAAAACAAAGAAGTATTCATTTCGATGAGAAGGGTACCTGAAAATTCACCCTGAGAAGAACCTCAAAAGCCAGAAGACATCACAAGTTACCCTGTCGGGTCAGAAAACGGCCAAGATAGGGTGTAATAAGGGCCCCAGAAGCGGCACAGCCGGAGTAGCTACCAGAGGACGGCCTAAATCTCACGGCGTTGTAAGGGGTATAGAGGTTGCCCCATTCACACAGCAGCTTACTAAGCCAGTTGTATGCAATGGCACAATGGGCCGCTCATCCAAATACCCCATCCATGCATCTTTTGTCGTCACATTCTCTTCCAACCCCTAATTTTACTGCTTTTTTAGCATTATATCTCTCTGATTTTCGCGCTTTCTTTGTCACTTTTGCCCTGTACTCGACAATCACTCCCATTACTGAAGCTAGATATTTCAGTACTATCTTTGATTGCGTCTTCGACAACACATGTGAGAAGAGGGCAGAGCGATTAATCTTTAATATGTAAAACGAGAATCAGAGGGTCAGGGCAGGTGCCACACGCGGTACAACAGTCCTTGTAGATTCGCTAGAAAGGCTGGCAAAGACTATAGTTCGCTGACATTCCCGCCTATTTGAAGAGGGAAAATCAAACAAATGTTATCACACGCTATGCTTAAGAATTCTTATTGTCGAGTGCTCGCTTGTTGCTTTGAGAGTCATCTCTGAACTATATCATGTTGTGAATCGGAAGTATTCACTGAGAACGAATATTATCGAAAATGATCATCCCTTAACACTCACATATTTGATCACTCACCAAAATTCAGGCATCAGAGCGGGAGGTGATTTTGGTGATGCGTTTCGCGATCGTTGCCGTAGGAGTGATGGCCACCATTATGGCACTAACAATACAGAGTATCTACGGTCTATGGTAAGTTCGATTTCATTCGCTTAATGGTTAGAGATAAGCTGCTAGGTGATGGAGTAGCTTTCGAAAAAATTCTACTAAAAAAGCAAAGAGCCTGGAAATCAGTGGATGATTTCATCGAGGCAAAAAAGTTCTGAAAGCGGAGTAACTACTACTTGAACCCTTGTATGAATGGCTCTCAAGGTTGGTTTGCATCTGGGAAGATGAGCGTCTGGCGTCTAAAAACCGATGATTCGTTAATTGACTGCGTCCTCATTACCTCGTCTTTCTCGATCGTTTTTCACAACCGGGCCTTTTAAGACTTCTGTGCCCTAACGCTCAAATTTTTGAATATGGCCCTGAATCTGGTGGTAGAAATGATCACGGTAAGTGAGCGTTGAGCACTCTAAATGTAGCATCCACAGACTGTAACACATGCGTTGGAGCTGTACCTTTGCGCTTCATAGTCTTTTGCGGAAGCTATTGCCGGAGACAAACCTGTGCAGTGCAATTATTAATTATGCCGACCGCTTTTGAAAAACTGAAGGCTTCAATAAACTCACGATGGTGCCAATTTGCGAATAATAGACTCGTGTGGCTGTGGATTGAGTGACTTAAATTAGCTCCAAACCGGAAACCGAAAGTTTCCCGTATCTTTATATAGTCATCCCTCACCATTAGCTCCAGTACGCCAACATTAGGTTAACCCTACCCTCATATGGAACGGAGGAATAAGACGGTTTATAGCAGAGATGCTTCATAAGGCCGATTTGGCATTGCAAACTACTTCTAATATTATCCTTCTTGAGGTATCTTTGTGCTGATCTCGTCTATGTCATCCTTTTCCCACAACTACTTTGTGTCGTCTACATAAAGAATAGCAATACATATGGATCACTGACTGGATATGCTGGTAATGTTTCTTACAGGGATTCTTAATTCATATCTCTGCTAAGTTCTTTCACAGGCTGGTTTCATAGTCCACGATTTGGCGAGCAACCAGTCGAGCGATCGGTCGAGGAGGCAGCACTAGTCATGGGCCCCTCCTCGACCTATCGCGCGACCGGTCGCGCGACTGGTCGCTCGGTCGCTCGCCAAATCGTGGAGTATAGAATTAACCACATGTTGATGTTTTTTTTACAAAGATCGATTGTTATGCGTGGGTACAGTTACTGGAAAAGTTCTCAAAAAAAGCTCACGAAATTCTCGATGTGCTTCGTCACAAAATTGATTCAATTTTTTTCGAAATCCATAATATCGACATACTTTTTTGCTTTGAGTGAATGAAGCGCTTCTTTAGTCGGTCTGATCCTACGACTTGCCGGTGGAGAGCCTCTTCTCGGCCTACCGGCATTGGTCCACTATCCAATGTACACTGATGGAATACAGTACTTCCCCTTTAAGACGGCGGCAATGCTGTCGTCATTAGTCTGTATCCTAGCCGTAAGTGTTTTCAAATGGCATTCAGCACAACTGTTTTTAACCACAAGTCATATTTAGGTGTCACGCCTTAGTGAACACTTGTTCACGACGGGTCAGATATCCCCAGAATGGGACGTTCTCGGATGCGTTGTAGTCCCATCAGAGAGGATTCCACTTCCATCAGATGTCTCCTTCAATGTCAGCAGCGACACTCTTGCCATGCATAAAGTGAGTTACATGCTCTTAGAGACGAGGGTTACGACTGGAGCTTCGTGGAGCTGCAGTTTTTGCTATGGGAGTGCCAGTGAAACGAGGCGATAGCGCACGAAAGGGTTGAGATGCATGGTGGTCTAGGCAACCACTACGATCCAAGGCATTCTCGAGCAGTGCCGTTAGTTTCCTCATCCTCGCGGTTCGGGTGGTCTTAGCCTAGCCTTCTGGGACATGAATGCAGCTGCCGTTTTCACACATTCCATGGAGCCCACAAAACTACGTCTTTAGCGGCTAGCTAAGACCCGTAAGCTTAGAAAGCAGTTAATTTGAAGAACTGGTGGATGAGTGAATAGGGAAGAGTATCAAAGCGATACCAACCATGCCATCCAGGTACTTCGGTTGTACTTCCCGAAAGTCTTGCTCACGTTGTTTCTTCGGCCCAATCTGAGCGACCCGATTTCAGTCAAACGGCACTGGTGCTCACAACGCGACGTTCACAGAGACATCTCTACTTCATCCCCATTATGCAGACCAAAACTATTTGTCAACTAACTCCCATTAGTGATTTGTTCATCATAACATAATTTTTCTAGAAACTAACACCATAGACAGAATTCTATTTAGAGTAAGTTATTGAGTGAACGGTTCTTTGATGAATCTCCAAGATCCAGATTGATGCTAATCCAGAATTTCGTTTAGTTTTAGTATTATTATTAGTAACGTATGGAATACGAGTAGGTTTTCGTCTGTCCTTTATTGGTCAAATTTCTAATTTGTCATTAATTGTTAAGGATTTTTCGAGGTTGTTGAACCCCATAAGTGCTCTCCTGATTCAAAATTGTAAAATTGTGTAGTGAAGAAACGGTTGTGAATAAAATGGAACTGTGTATGTGAACAATAAAGAAACAGAAACAATTATCTGAAATGCTAGATAGGCATGCTAATAATATTAATACCTTTGGACTTAGTAAAATGCATATAATGACGTTGGTCAAGGAATGCACAGTCAAGAAACAATTATCCTTTCAAGACCCAGCTGGACAACCCTGGAGCAGTCCAGCGCTTGGTCCAATAGCTCCAACTCGAACAGCGTTACCAAAATGTGGTGAATCCCTTGTTCACATAGCATTGATACACAGAAACGATCGTTTCGTGTAGTCAGTACCTATTCCTCCCGATAACAAGAGGGAAACTACGATAATGAGCTGCTTGAAGTTGTCATCCCTTCTGCTTGACGTTAGAGGCTTTTATAGATGTGAGTGAAGTGAAGGGAGCAAATGTGATGTCCTATTCAGGGCATGACCTTTACACGAAATTGCATACGTTCAAAAGAGATCACCAAGATTTTGATTTCGTAGCTTTACAGCCTTCCAAAGGGGCTGGCTAAGGTGAGGCGCTGTTAGATCGGCCAAACTAAACCTCTCCGATGGTAACCTTGAATAAATAGGCATATAGAAGTGCAAAAGAGTGCTTTTTGAATGCCGTTGAGTGACAAAAGTCAGTAGATGTGATCTCCTGTCTTCTAGTTCGCATTCTCCCCTTTGACTTACTCCAGCTCAACCTTCTCTCTTAGCAAAGTTATTTCTCCAGATTGTGTTTTGAGAAAAGGTCCGATTCCTTATCCATTGTCTGTGGAGATCAATAACAATGGTCATCCATCGACCGATACTTAACCAGACAAATTTTTGAAAACTGGATAAAGGCAGCTGCAATGAGATAGTAAAAAGAGCCGAAGATGTGGCCAACCCCTAACAATCAACTGCACCCATTGTGATTGGATACGCCGTGCGTACTGCAAGAGGTGGAACGCAAGACCGCTACGCCCGACGATATGTATAGGACGCTGTTGTCTTGTACCCCGAAATGTGACGGGTATTGTCCGCTAACAGAATTGACTAGCATCAAATTTACTAAAAAGGACTCAAACGTGGTCTTAAACAGTTGCACATGAATATTGGTCATACAGTAAGCAAAAAAAAAACAAAACAAAAAACATGTAAAAAAACTAAACGAAACACACTGAGGATTAGAACTCGACATCAGAATACGGTATGTACGGGCTGAAGACTAGCACTGGCGATTTGATTAGCGTTGAGCATGCGCTCGGCTTTTTGAACAATTGCTCTATCACTCATTTAACAATTGAACTCAAACTACCCGGTACAATGAGTAACCCGATAGAACATAATAGAATTTCTCTCAAAATTGTACGATGTACATTTCCTTTTCGATACAAGTACAAGTAGGCAGCACTGATATCGATAACATCGATACCAAGACATTTGCATATCTCACAGAGTTCAAGAAGGAACTGAATTCAGATTGCTTTCACAATTCGATCCTTTCCAATGGATGCGTCAGTGATGTACCGATAATAGGAACGTGGGCACGAATTCAAGAACGCGCTCGCTAATGCGACACACTTAATTGTGAAAGCCATCTTAGGGGAACAGACGGTGGTCGTTCCTTGTGTTTTGCGGAGAAAGGCGAAACGGAAGGCCATTCCTTTACGAGAAAATTTTCTTTTCCGATAAGTAGGCTGGAGCAACACAGATGTTCCTCATCAGACAGGTTCGAACTCATTAAATCTATGGAAGTGGCTTTGGTAGTGCAAACCACAGAAGACGACCACAACAATTCCTTAAGCAGTCACTAACGACGAAGAATTTCCCAGAATGGAATTGCGATTTATCTTCGAGAAGATGGGGTAGCAGGAGTACATCAGGCCACTCCAAAGATATCATGCTTCGCTTCGAACTGTTTCACTTCGTCGTAGATGAGTTCTGAAAAGAAATAGATTCTGACTGTGATTTGGTTGTAAACGTGATGGGTGTGAAGTACGACGCATCAACGATTGATCATGATGGGAAACTTCATTGAAATTACATAACTTCGTTGTACGGAAATATCCATAGATTAGAGATCGAAGGTCCGAACTGAGAATGTGCATGCGTTTTATTTCTTTGAAGCAGATTACTCAGTCAAAATTATAAGCTCTACCTCGCAAATAACAAACATGCATCCAAATTCTTTTGAGAATGCGATAGGACATGAAAGCGTGGCACGCTCAAAGAACCCCTCAGACCCTCGGAAAGAAAATTTGAAAGTCTTTCTCTATACATATGTGACATAGTTTCTAGAAAAAGAAATTACCAATTGTGCAATCACGGTTAATTTTCTCAACGAAATTTCATCGAGCAAAAACAACAAAGGCAAAAGAAATACGTTTGAATGACCCGGTGTTCAGTTAACCGCTCAAAGTTCTTAAGTAACAGTACGCGATGCGAAAGCACTACCAGGATGCCAGTAGTGAGCAGAACTTCGGAACCGGACGATTTCCGCACTCTGTCTCTTGAGCTACGGGGCCCTTGTCCTCTGTTTCAATCATCTCAATGGCTATCAAGTGAACAACATGGTATAAATATGTTCGACTGACCATTACGGAGAATTACCCCTAGCTTGCTATTCCTAAATTTTTTGCTTTCAAATATCCCATACTTCTGTGCCGAACCTCATTTTTACGGTAGAATAACAGTATGAATGCTTACTGGAACTTTTTGGAATGCTGCTTATCACAGGACAGACTGACTATTAAAGTCCGGTAACTCAGATCAGCGAACTCCAACTAGAATTGGAATCCGAAATATGCTGACGATCTGTGGCTGAGAGGTACACGATTGTTTTCGATCTTGTCGTCTTCGTGAGAGCCTTGTATGTACTGTAGTAGACCTATGCAATCTGACGAAAGCGACAAAGCCGAAAGGTTAGCCTTTCGAAGCCCTAGTATCTCGACCAAGATTTCACAACAATACATATGTCAAGCATCAAGACAGTAAGTGGAGATTCATCTGAAGTCAAAATTGCTCCTGGGATTTCAAAGGTGGAATATTAGCAAAAACAGCAATGAAGTCAGCAACCCCGAGCGTTTGTTTGAAGTCGTGGGCGGCAGGGTCACCCACGTTCTCCCTATTAACGCCCACACGGCGGATCTAGACATGAACTTAAAAGCTTTTCCAGAAACCTTTGAGAATTTTTTCGCTTCGACAGTACTCTCGTAGTTCAGTATCGTGCTTATTCGCAAACTATCTACCGATGTTTGGTTTGCCTCGCTGAATATCGGTTATGATGATGTCATGGGCCAGTCTGTTCAAACATTGCTGTGTAAATGGGTATTAATGGACAGAATCAGCCCTCATGACGTCATGAAAACATTGGCGCTCGTATTGAAGTTGAATTCTGTGCGCTTGAGGTTGTTGTTTTTTTGTCCTTTACATATTTGACAAGTGGTTTTTTTTCACGCTAAAGAAACCGGGAGACAGATGCGCGTTCGCGTAGAGAAGGGTCTCGGTGGAAGGCAGAGTTCGCTCTGAGAAGTTTGTTGCACCATTAAGAGGCGCCGAACGAAAGGTTATGCTTGGCATTAAAATATTAACCTACAAATTCAATATCTGCGCTAGACAAACTTTGAGGCTTGCTGGACTAGTTCAGAGACACATACATGGGAAACAAGAGCAATTGAATCAAGGATCAAGCCAATGACTTCGATCAATTTCTCTCCGGGTTATTCCGCCTTCGACTTCCTTTCAAAATCGCAGTGCGGTGGCGTATGGGATGCATATGTCACCCATACAATGAATTACGGTGGACAGCCAATGACAAACAATGCTTTTAACTTTCTAGACGAGACTCGCACCTTCAGTTGACCTCAAAAGGACGTAAGGTTTGGTTGGCCAGGGGATATGTCGACTCGAGATTCGAATCGTGGACTGTGCATGGGTGGTAGTGCGCCGCATGCCCCGACACAGCTTCGACCTTCGACAAGTCAACACGCTTGCCAACATAACTAGGGATTCTTGCCTCAAATCCCATTCTGAGAAGATTCACAGTGAAAACGAGACACTGCGCCACTGTGGGCTATCAATAGTATGAATATTGATAAAGCACTGTCGCACTTGTTGTTCCCGAAGATGAGCACGCTCTCGTTGTTTGTAGAGTTGACATGAGAAGCCCGTTTCTGGTAAATCAGCTCTGCTTGCAGGGCTGTAACAGGTTGAGAAATGATGTCCGCCAAGCGTGAAATGTAAAACTTCACAGTTTTGGGGATGAGGATTTCGACGAAACGTCACGCAAAATAAACATTTCATCACATAAGAAACAATTTTGGCACGGAAGCACTGGAAACATATATGGCTTTCACCAAACTGCTGCTCATCCATTTAGTAAAAGATCTGCTCCTTAAATGGTTGAAGTGGCTACGACTCCTAAAAGCCATCTACTTTTCCTAAATATGAGGTCGGGCTGTTAAGGAAAATCTCACCTCTTACGTACACCTAAGAGCAGACAATTTCTACATATCCTAAGTACATGAGGACAGATGTAATCCATTTCTCTCTCGTCTTGGAGAGAAACCAAGTTTGATTTCTTGCGACGAAATCTCTTGATAGCGACACATGTTCAAATCTCTGCTTGCACTTCGTGAAAATCTAGACACTTCAGAATCTGTGGGAGTCGAAACTCGGCAAGGTTCCCAATTTGCATATTTCCTTTCTCATTACAGCTCCTGAAGGAGAGACAGCAGCTCCACTCCATGATGCGATGCGCTCCACTGTGATGCGAGGCGAGAAGAAAAGATAATACAAAGCATGCAACATGGAGCGCCAAAGAGAATCAATAGTGGTGGGTGAGCAAATATGTATGCACAATGCTCTACAATTTGTGATTCTATATTATCCGCAGCATGCTTTTCTCCTCTTTTTTTTTCAAAAACTCAAACATCACTTCCGTGTGTGTTTACCACAAAGCAAGTTTGAAGCTGCACATAAGACCGCTGTCGCTCTCGAATTATTTGAGACATTTAATGATAAAAGTGGTTCCTAAAAGAAATATCCCTCTGACGAATCTGTGGCGTTCCTGTATACCATAGGTGACGCTGTCGGATTGGTTGACGGCCGTTATAATAGATCGTTATAAGGGTTCAGTGATTGTATCGGTTGGGTGCCACACCCCCAGCGGACGAGTTTCAACAGCGTTCTAGAGGCTGCACTGTCTCAAGCGACTTCCATGTTGGAAGTTCAAACAACTTGTCATGACCCATGGCGACAGTGAAAGGCAATCGTAGACAATTTTGGCTCGATGTAGTCGGCTTTTCACAAAGCAAATTGCAACAACTGGCTATACCCCTTCTATGGTATTTCCGCCATGGTAATCTCGAACGACCTCACTACTTTCAATGAGCCTTATTTTTGGCGATGAAGGCTGGTTTTCTCTCTTCATTTGCACTAATGCAAGACTCTAACTCAACATATCCGCTTCCAAACTTGAAAAGGGTATCTCGAAATTGTCGTGGATCAGCTTTTGAACGCAAATATGGACTTAACCGTACCTTTCCATTCGCTCAGTGGCCGGTCAGCGCAGTCTATTTCTTCGTTGTAGCGATTCTCAGACTGTGGGGCGTTGACCTCTTCATCCTGCAATTGAGCATTTCCAATGAATGTTTTCATCTATGGAGGTTAACTTTAGCGACTCGTTCAGAGCCTTTCCCTTGACTCACTCTGAACCACACTTTCACGTAGGGATGATTCAATGACTCTTCAACAGAATATCGTTTGTCAGGATTGATCACAAGCATCTTCGCTAGCAAGTCTCGACCCCATTCCGCTAAATAGGACCCTTTGACTGGCAAGCTGTGCGAGGGCGAAAAGAGGACAACTAACCGGTGAGGTTGGCTTTGACGTTTTCTGTTTCCTTGAGGAAATTCGCATCTGGAGCAATCTCTTCGATAGACTTACCCGTTTGGGATGGAAGTGATCTCACATACCTGGAATCGTCGTTAAGTAAGCATCAAAGTAGTATTGCCAGATAGACAAAGAGCAGTATGCTGAACTCTTACGACTTGGAAAAAGAGTGCTACCCTTTTACACCAGAAACAACGTTCCAAGCAGAACGCTGAAGAACGATATTATTCTGATCAACTCATAACCTATTCAGTGGATGCGCTTAACATGGTCACACCGTATTCTGCTTCCCTGTGACTACTTTCGCTCCCCCTCGCCATCTACACATAACGGCGTCAGGATAGGCTGCCTTCATAGTCCGCCGGCGTGCCGGCCCGCGTCGACCGCGCGAGCCCCTTCGAAGGACTGAAAACAAAGAAAAACAAGATCAAAAACCAAACAACCAGAGGCTTGTGCAAATGGTTTTTGGTCTTGTTTTTCTTTGTTTTCAGCCCTTCGAAGGGGCTTGGGCGCAACGCGACCGCGTTGACCGACTGTTTCTGCCTCCCTCCTCCTCCCCCCTTACTTATGGCTACTGAGGTAGAAACCAATCGGAACTACCTCTCCCTCCTTTCCAC